CAAGATCCCCCGAGCCCACGTGGGGGCGGGGAATTTCTGGGAGTTGCAGTCCACCCATCTTAACGTTGCCAAGGTTGAAAACCATTGGGTTAGACTCTCTTTCGAAGCACTGCATAGAAACACAAAGTGCCTCCTGACTCCGGTTCCTTTACCTGATTCTCATTATAAATCATTCCATATGTAATTTTCTCCCACCCAAGACTTCTTCCCCATCTTTGTCATGCTGACATAATTTTTTCACATTGCATCCTATCATGAAATCTTCCACTGTGTGTTGAGTCTCATTTCCTCCCATAAATGTCTATCAATCTCTTATATCTTTAAAAGCTGCACTGAAATTCTGTAGCGTTATAATCCTATCTGAGTACACACACTGGAATAAAATAGAAAAACTAAAAAAGCCCTCCCAGTAAAGGGGGTATGAGGTCTATTCCAGATGGGGGGTAACTAGTTGGGCCTTTTTTGAATTTATTATATTTTTACCATTCGTAGGGGTGCTCTTTATACTGCCTTTATATTTTACTTTTTTTTAAGCACATTCAGATTTCTCTGTGTATTTGCTCAGAAGTCAGTTTGTCAAAGTTAAATAGGACTTTGCGTGTCAAAATTTGGCAGTGCTACAGTATAAACTATGTCACAATAATTCTTAATAAAATTATTTTTATTACTCTTCTTGAAACAAACCAGTCTCTTTTTCATTAAAAAAAAAAAAAAAACTTGTGTCCTTGTTATTTGGAAACCCTACTCTTGCCCATCATCAGATGTTCTATCATTCCTACTATGAATTTCAATCATAGTAGGAATGATAGATACTATAATAACATACCTTATTATTTTTAAGATCTGGTTTTAACACACCTATGCCAAGAAATTGGGTTAAGGTTGAACTTCTATCCTTAAATCACTTACTTAGGCCTAAGTGTTGCAGATAAGAAAGGGAGCTAAGAACAGAATGCAGTGATAAATTCCTGTTAGCTTTTTGGTGAAAACTGGTCCACTAATATTATGTAGCTCATACATGTTACCTATTATATATACAAAATGTAAATGTCATGTTTTTAAAAGAAAGAAATGGATCCGCTGGCAGCGGAAGGTAAGAAACATATCACTTAACAGTGCAATCCTATAAAACTTACCTGGGAGTAAGTCCTGTTGAAGAAAACAGGACTTACTTCTGAATAGGCATGTATACAATTGCACTGTACTGGTACACAAAAGAAAGATGTATACACTTCACAAAAAGTATACATTTGAACAAACTGTTATACAGGTTAATATGACAATATATAGAAAATAATCCTTATGAGTATTTGAAGTGAATAAAGGGGGTTAAATTGTGTAAAAAAATTATAGCAATGAACATCTTTAGGGATGTACTTAAAAAAATAGTATCACTACCATCAAAACAATGTGGAGAAAATAAGGTATATCTAATCTCACAGTTTATATTGAAGACTTGTTCTACAGATCACACACATAGCCTAGACTGTATCAACCTATATTCCATTATTAACATTTTATTTCGCCAGTGTACTCACTTGGTGGGTTCAAAAATAACTTGGCAACAATTCCACAATGTCCATACAAATGCCCATAATCTTAAGCAGTTTAAGATCTCAGGCAAAAACACTGACAGGTCGGAGCGTCTACCAGGCGTACTTTGTTGGAGTTGGTTATAGGAAATGCAGGTTCAATTCTTGGTCATAAAGACCTGTGGGGGATGGGAGAGGTATTCCTGTATCACCTGTGCTGAACACACTTGCGGTATCACTCCACCCTTCCGTCCCACCCTTGAGCCCTCTCCAGCTATAGTATGGAATGGAATTCCCATAATGCACGTGACTTCTGGAAATTTAAGTCCTAGACCCATACAGAAGGCACCAGACTGGAGAGATTATAGAAACAGGGTTTGGGTGGGTGGGGGATTATGTTGTTTTTAATGGGAAGTTATATACGAAAGCACTGTGTAAATCATCATCATCATCACCATCATCATCATCTGCCTATCCCAGGTCCTTGGGAAGGATTCAATAGGTGGATAAAAATGCCCAATCCAGTCTAAAGAGCTGGCTAACTGTGTGACTAACAAAAATACTTTATTAAATTATAAGATGAGAAAAGGCTGTAAAGCAGCACAAAGCTAGATTTCTTAAATCCCAAAGACATTAATGGAGTAAAAATATCCTAACTACATCCAAGACTGTCACTAAGTCTTATGAAGTAGTTTTAAGGTTGGAGAACCTCGGGTGATTTTTTAGAATAATAACAGCTATTGCCAAATTCCCCTTAGCTGCTCAGCCCTATTGATCAGTTAGATAATTGATCAAATCTTCAGCTAGGGGGATTTCCTTCAAGCCACCAAAAGAGCCTGTCGATTATGAACATAAATAAATTCTAATTTGGAAATGAGGCCAGGAGCATATTTTAGAATTGCAGCAGGCGTTCTCTTATGAGACAACTGTTGCTTGTAGCATTGGAGGGGCAATGCATGTATTCAAGAAAGTGAAGGAGAAAAGTTTCTTCTGTGATGTTGTCCGCTATCTATCATTTCTGAAAATTCATTTGCAAGAATGTTTTCACAATTAATGGAAACTGCCTTCTGTATCAATTAATTAAAAAAAAAAAACAGCCAATGGCCATGACCCAAGTATCAGCAACCAACAGTAACAAAACACAAATTCTATTTTTGCAATAGCACAACCAGATCTACAACTCCCGTGCCTCTTTGCTTCGGCACATGGGTGAGACATATTGCCAAGTGGCAGATAAGACACTCCTAACTGGGTGCATCCTACTCTGTGCATGTCTCCACACTCTTCACCCAGAGCAGCCTTCCCCACCAGGGTGCCCTTCCACATGGGTTGGACTCCATCTCCCAGTGGCAGGAACAAGTCCAATCAGGCTGGGAAAGGCTGAATGTGGAGATGAGGATAGTAAACCACCTGCTTCCTGTTACAGAAATGGGGAAACAGAGGGGAATTGGTATCCAGGCCTTGATGATGTAGCGGCAAGGTGGGTGGGAGAGGGTTAAACAAGGATACCAAAGTGTTTCAAAGGAATGAGCACCAGGACTCGCCTTTGTATACACAGCGGGCCATTCACGACTGCAGGGAATTGACACTTACGAGTTGCTGAAAAGCCGGCTGATCTATGTCACTCTGCAAGGCGAAATCACTGAGGACTTTCCAGGGTGGCTGGTAACTCTGCACCTCCACCGGGTTCGCCTGCAAGCCGCCGTCATGTCTCTCCGGACTGGCTGCCACCATGGGAGTGCCCGTCATCCCCTGGATGTTCTGCAAACAAGGCAGCAGAGTCAGTGAGCAGCCACGTTGCACCACACCGCAGACACCTGGCAGCGCCAAAGAAGCTATCAGCTATGTTGGCTTTAATGCACACCCTCCATGGATCACCTTAGTTCGACTGTCTTCCACAGCCTCTGGGCCAAGAGGGCTTTGTGTTTTACCCCCTTGATGAAAGTACACCATTTAGGGAGAGACCCATTTCCAGCCCCAAACAAGCCCAAAGAGGCTTGTGTGTGTGCAAAGTTCCCATTCCATTTAAGTTTTCAGTAGCACTTAGTGTCAGAAGGGTGCCCCTCTAGATCCGCACCCTATATATCCCCAGTGTCCTGCAAACACGTGGGACCATAACCCCCATCCCTCAACCAATGAACAGAAAGCTGTAGGTAGTGACCTAGTAAACCTCACTGAGATCTGTAGGACAATAAATTTGCTGGGGAAAAAAATGTCACCACTGAGTTTAAGATGATTGTTCCATTTCTAGAAAGGTGGAGAGAAATCCTCATTTATATTCTCGGAGAATCTAAAACCAGTCCCCAATTTAAAATATAAATTATTGGGGGGGGGGCTTTCATTTAAAAATACAATATTGAGTGTAAATGAACCTAGGCATTATAGGAGGAGAGCCATGGTAATCTATGGTGGCAAAAAATCAGGAGTGTGATAGCACCTTTTCCAACTAACTGATTTTATTAAAAGGCATACAGTAATCACAAAAGTTTATACCTTTTAATAAAACTTGCTAGTCGAAAAAGGAGCTAAAAGACTCCTCCTGATTTTGAACCCAGGAATGAGCGCTGTTGAAATCAGATTCTAGGATGTACCTTTACCTGGGAGTAAGTCCCAGTGACCTTAGTGAGGCTTACTTTTGAGTAAATTATTAGTAAGGAAGGCTTTACAGCAATCGTACGTTGAATGGCCAATAAAGCAATGGGAGCGGGGGACTCAGCGGGGACACAATGGCCTCTTCAGACCTGAAGATCCTTGTTTGTTGTTTTCCTTTCGGCTTCCATTTTTTCTTTGAGGTTGGCAGGGCAGTGGGGGGAGTGGGACTCAGGCTGAGGGATGGTGAATACTCCATCTCTACTACTCAAAAACACACACTACCTCTTTCTCCCCCAGACTCCTATTTTCTACTATATCCTCTCTCCATCCCTCTCCACTTTCTTTTGCTATCACTACTTAATAGTTTAATCAGAAGGAAGCATCCGATAACTATGGCATAGTACTGACTTGTTCACTTATTTGAGGTTCCCTTTTGAGCAAATGTGTCTCAACGTACTTCTTCACTGGGAAAACTCGTTTCATTGAGGGATCGTAGTGAGAGTTACATTAGTGCTACCAGTTCCGGCCTACAAACATCCAGATGATAGCAAAGGGGCATCGTTTCTCTAACTCTTTGCTCCAATCTTATGATCATCTGGATTTCTGCGGTCAGGCCATGTTAACCCTTGGTTACATTCACATGTAAACTCAGAAAGAAACAAAGCCATAAACATTAAACCCTCAGAATCATGCAGGAAGTGTTATTCAGCTACTGGCACTGGTTTCTCCTGCACATGTGTAAGGCCCCAACCCGTGATGTGAAAGGGGGCACTGATAAACTGGATCTATAAATACGGTAGGAGTAAAATGCAAATAAGAAAAGTGCAAAGCTTTCTTAATTGCTTGGGAAATGGGGAGGGGGGTAGAGAGAGTGCAAAAGAGCAGGAAAGGAAACAGCATTGAGGTTTACTCTAGAAGTAAAGGTTGATCATAGAGTTTAAGTTTGAACTCAGTTGGAATCACCATGTTTGTCTACCCCCCCCCCCATTTATTCTGGATGAAGCCAACAGATAGCTTTAGCTCACAGTCTTAATCCCTAAGCATTCTGAACATACAAATAAATGTAATTCAGGGAAGCCTTCTTAAGGCCACCCTAAGAGGAAAAGAGACTGGCTTTTGGTCATTCCTTGGCTGTGGGAAGAAGCAGTTGGATACAGTGGGACCACCGTTAAGCGAGTTAGGGGCAGAGTCCTTCATTCAGCACGAGCAACAGGAGGGTCTTCCAGGTTTAAAGGACTGCCTTATGACATTTGGAAACAGGAGAGTTGAAGGAGGCAGTACAATTCCAGTGGAATCTGTAGCTACGGTCCTTCAATCCTAAATCTAGGAATTGCTAATTGCACCACTGCAAAGCAATCCACGCCAGCCTAAATGTAAGCAGCACCTGATTCCTTATGCTGCAGCACCAACTCAGCACACTGGACTGCCCTCATTGGTGCCACTCAAAAGTCCAGAGTCATCCACTCTGTTTTGTGAGAGGCCAGGTCACCTTTTTATTTGTTTCTGTTTTGGCCGGGTGGGGAGTCCAAAATCCTAAAGGTGTTTTAAAGGACTTGTGTCCAAAATAGCATCCTAATTCTGACCAATTTAGAATCCTTTAAATTGTGGGTTTATGACATTCTGCAGTGGTGAAACACTGCTCTTGAAGTTCCACTTAATCATGGAGACAGCCTTTAAAACAAATTAATAGCTGCTTCTTGTCCCAGATTTGAATACTAAGGCGAGCAACAATTATGGTTTCCTCATGAAGGTCTAAAAGGGACAGTGGACGGGGGAGTGGGGCAAATAGTGTAATTCTCTAATTTGTATCCTATTCATAAGTAGTCCTTGATGATATTCACTTAAATACTGCAACTGTTGATTTAAACAAGGCCAAGCCCACAACTTTTTCCGTTAATAAATGCCACCCTGCTCAATGAGGAATGTTCCCTGTGCAAATGTGATCTAGGATTACAATTTTGGGCTTGAATTTGGTTCCACCTGGTTCCAATAAGGATGTATAATTGCCCAATGTGGGTGGGGCATAATTGGAAGTATGTCCCCAACTTACTCCTGGGTGAACATTCAGTCAGTTTTAGTTCTGTGGAACAAAACAGGAGTAAATACAGGTCTAATATGACCAAGTTAAGATTTCCTGAATTGATTCTTTCTTAAAAAAAAACAAAAAAAACAGAAGAAGTAGGAAAATGCAGAAGGGTTAGAAGGCAAAAGCTCAACTCCTTTTATATTCAGGGAT